CAGGGGACCAGGCATTTGGGCCCCCCCTTCTCCCCCCCCCGGTAACCTGTCACGCTTCAACTATGCAGGGCCTGAGACCCCTTCAGGTCCTTTGCATCTCTCCAATCTCCCTTGGCCAAAGAAGAGGGTGAGGGTCTTTGGGGGCGCTGCCAGGGCAGCCTGAGGCAAGACCCACTGGGGTGCTCACCGTGATGTCGTCACACGAGCGAGGGCAGGGGGGCCCACAGCTGCTGTAGGCAGAGTCCTCCAGAACAGAGCAGTCCAGGGCTGGGGGGTGGTGAGAAAAGACAGGCATGAGAAGAAGCCCCCTCCACAGTAGCCCTCCTGGGGACATTTTCTCCCCCCCAAAACGGGGGGACCCAGCTGCATCACAGAGACCAGGATTCACACGAGACAGTCTGCATTTTGCTTCTGGATCCTGAGGAGGACATGCCACGTCCACGGAGGCCCCCCTAAAGAGCCTCCCCTCGCTTTACTCTCCCCCACGGCTAACGTGGTACAGCTTAGACTAGGAGAACAGGCTCCAGTCTCCGGGGGGCAGGGAGGGCGGTTTAGCTGGCCTTAGATCAGCCTACCCCCCAGGTCAGGGTGTTCTCCAGGCCCCAGAGCTGCAAAGGTCGGGAAGGAAGATGGTCCCGCTGCCCCCCCCCACGCAGCAGCTGGCAGCTCTCCGACTTACCTGGGCAGGGGTTCAGGTTGCAGGAATCCACCTGGGTGGGCGGCCCCTCGCAATAGTCCCCTCCTCCCCGGGGGGAAGGGCTGTCGCAGGCTCTGCTCCGGCTTCTCATGCCTCCCCCGCAGCTGAAGGTGCAGGCGGTCCAGGGGCTCCAGGCGCCCCAGCCCCCACTCCCTGCGCAGAAGCGGCTTTGGTCACGCAGCCCCCAGACAGGTCCGAAAAGACCTAATTGCTCATTCACACAATACCCTGAACTCGGTTAGTGGTCATACTGGACAGGGTGTGTGTCCATCTTGGTGTGTTCTGCAAATCCAACCCCCCTGGCTAGTTCACTGTGTGAACCCAGGGCATGGGTTAATAGGGAGATTGAGTTGAGCGTGTTGTGTGAAGGCGACTCTGGTCCATGGGTGTGCGAGGGGTGTGCAATCAGATCTTCTTGGACCAGTGGTTCCCAGAGGTTTCAGGCGAGGAGGATCTTTCCCACCGCCAGCCTCCCAGGCAAACAGGGTCTCCTCCTGGGGCAAAGACCCCTTCCTCACCCCCAAGCCCCGCGGCTCACCCTCAGCGGGAAAGGAAGGGCCCTCGCTCCTCCCTCTTTGGACCCTCCGGAGGGGAAGGCCCAGCCTCGCTGCTCACCCTGGCTGCGGGGGCCTTCCGGAAGAGAGACAGGCAGCACTTACGGGAGCAGGGCTGGGTCTGGCAGGCCTTGTCCTCCCGTTCCGGCCCCAGGCAGGGCAGCCCCATCCCGGAAGGGGCAGGATCCGTGCAGAAGTGGTAGCGGTTCTGCAGTCCCAGCCCGCAGGACGCTGAGCACTCGCTCCAGGGGGTCCACTCCGACCACTGGCCGTTCACTGGCACGGGAGGAGCAAGGAGACAGTGGGGCGGGGTCCTTTGCCCCCCGGATTCACAAGTTCCTTTGAGCCTCCCTCGAACAGGGCCATGGGGGCACGCTTCCAGGGAAATGCACACCCGCCTGGCTCAGGCACGCCCGGGCTCGCAAGAGCGCCCAGCCGGGCCTCCACTTCTTGCAGCACCTGAGGCTGGCAGCGCCCCTGGCCTTCCTCCCTGGTTTTAGGAATTCAAAAACCAGAGCGAGGCATGGACCCTTCCAGGCTGTGCTCGCCGAGAGCCGTTCCCTGGGTGTAAATGTGGGGCAGCCCAGGAGGAGGGTCCCTGGCACCCTAGATGGGAAAGCCCAGGCTGTTCATTTGGGGACTCTTCCCCCACTTTGAGGAGGAGCTGGGCAGGCATCAGGCCAGGCTTGTGGGGGCTGAATGCCTGCTCCCCTGCCACCTGACACCGAGTCTAAGGGAGGAAAGCCCCACAGGTCCCTGAAGCCGAGGAGAACAAGACGGGAGCCTCGGGCGGGAAGAGAGCCTCTTGGCGGATTGATTGCCAAATGTCCGCTTTGGCAAGCCAGCCCAGAATCGGCCTGATCAGGAATCTGATCCTGTCAATGGGCCCAGTCAGAACCTGCCCAGCCTCGGGGCTCCCGGGAGGGCTTCTCACCGTCTCCGCAGGCCGTGCGGGAGCAGTTGCCCACCTGCCCAGCGATGCAGGAACTGTGGGAAGGGAGGAAACGTGTGTCAGGCCAGAGAGATGGGAGGGAAGAGGCTGGATGAGCAGGAGGGGCAGCCGCAGGAGACTGACCAGTTCTCGCAGCCCTTGGCCACCGCTTCACCTGGGGCGTAGAGCATCCCCTCTACGGCGCACGGGCACTCCTTCTCCGGCACGCAGAGATTGTTCTGGAAGGGGAGGCAGCAGCATTGGCGACCCCAGCTCCTCTCCTCCATGTGCTGCTGCCTCCCCTTTGGTGGCGCTGGTCCTCAAGGAATCAGGGGAGGCTTCCCACCCTTCCCAGGACGTGAGGGGAGAGGCCCCCTTGCCCCCCCACCTTCCCATCGCTGCTCAAGAGCTTTAAGGTTGGGCACAGTCTGCCGTGCAGCAGGAAGGGTTTGGCCCGGTTCTCCTGGGCTGAGACGGGCAGCCGAAACGCTCAGGACCTTTACCAGCAGGACGGTGCCGTTGGGGCAGTAACATCCCGGCTGGCAAGCCCTGTTGCCAGCGCCGACTTCTGTGCTGAGCTCCGCGCAGGAGGCCGGCCCGTCGGCGCACTCTTGCCACCGCTTCCCCTCTGGGCAGATGCCGGGCACTTCACCTGGTTGGAAGGGACAAGACAGAAGGAGGTCGGAGAAGGAAGCCCCATCTCCAGCTGGCACCCTCCGGGACTAAGGGTGATGGGTGCTGTGGTCCAGGCTGCCACACTGAGGGGGCTGCTGTAATCCAACAGAGCCAAGAGCTGGGGTCTCAGCGCAAGCTCTGCGCTACAGATGGGTTGCCTGCCTTCTCCTCAGCTCTGGCCACTCTGGCAGCTTTCGGCCTGTGGCGAGCCACAGTCTCACCCGAGCCACGTGCTACGGTGTGGCCTGAGAAGTTAGGACCCCAGGCAAAATCCGGGATCTGGAGAAGCAGGTTGCTGCAAGGGGAGCCCACTGGGCCTCTTTCCAGCTGCAGCCCCCCCAGGACCCACCCCTTGGCAAGGCACAAGGGAGCCCAGGCTGACCCGTGGGCAGAAGCTGTGAGACAGCGGTGGCAAATGAGTCGGACGCAGAGGGGGCTGTTTGGATGGAAGACCCCCTTTCCCGCATCCCGCATCAGTCCAGCTGGAGGTGCCCATAGGATATGGTCAAAAACGTCAAGGGGGGGGTTATGACAGAGCGATTTTTTCTGTGTTGAGATGCACGTAGAAACAGGTGGAACTTCGATCACACTGCCGAGGCCACCATCTTGACTTCTTTGACCACACCTGGTGACAGCTCTGCTGTTGTGGAAGGCAGCGGCCAAGCCACCGGGCTCACCTGTGCAGGGCTGAAGGTTGCAGGTGGCAAAGTCGATCCTGCCCAGGACAGTGGGGCTGGCCCTTGTGCGGTTCCGGTAGCCCCCCCCGCAGGGCACCGAGCACTCAGACCAGGGGCCCCATTCCATGCCGGGGCCTGTATGGGGGGCAGAAAGTGGAAGGAGACTGAGGGGGCTGGAAACCGGCACCTCTTGACCCCCAATGTAGAAGGGCCTGTGCCTCCCCTGCCCACTTTGGCCTGTCCCTCGTCCTCTGGAGCTGACCACACTGAGACCGGCCCACGGGAGGTCCCCTGTTCTGCGCCTCTCTTGGCCCCTTCTGGGAGAAGCACTCTAGACGCGCTCAAAGACACTCCGGCTGTGTGCATATAGCACATTAACCCCACATAACCCACAGTGCCGGTGTACACAGCACACACCAGGCCCAAACCAAGGCTCACAAGGTGCTTAACGCGGCTGTCTGATTCATTCCACCCGCCAGAGCAAACGTGCTCTGCCCCCCAAGGTGCTGAACTCTCCAGCCCTGCCTTGGCCTGGCCCGGGAAGGGCAAACACGGAGCCCGAGCCCGAAGCTGGCCTGGGTCTCGGCTCCGACCCATCGCTTGGCAGGGGGGCCCTGCTGGCCTCCTGCCTCTGCCCCCCCCCACCGCTTCCTCTCTCACCCTGGCAGGGCTGCAGGCTGCAGAACTCAATCTCCACGTTGGACCCCTGGCACTGCTGCCCTCCTGCGGAGGCAGGGGGCTCAGAGCTGGAACGGTGGCGCCGCCGAGTGCCCACGTTGCAGGTGCGGCTGCAGGAGCTCCAGGCCGTCCAGGCGCTCCAGCCACAGTCGGCTGCCCAGGAGGAGAAGGCAGGTCAGGCAGCCCTCGGGGAGCCCCCGCATTTGCCCGCCTGTCTAGCTGGGTGGAGCCCTGGCAGAGTTCCAGGGCCCCAGGGGGGCCCGTTCCCAATGGACAAGGCAGATTCATTGGCCGTAGCACTGTACTGGCTGAAACTCCCATTATCCCCTCTCAAGGGCAGTGGGCGATGGGAACTGCATTCTCAGACCTCTGAGGGATGCCTCCAATCCAGAGCTAACTCCCCCCCGGGAACCCTCCAAGCCCCCCCACCCACTGTTCCGGCTCACACCTCTAAGAAAGGGTTGCTTTGAAGGGCAGCGTCTACATTCCCCAGTAACCAATCGGTCAAAACCACTCCTGGCTGCAAGGGGAGGGCTTTGGGTCCTTCTGGGCCCCCTGGTGGGAAAGGTCATGACCTTGGGCCTGCACCTGCTGTGTCCCACCCCCCTGCAAGAGGACCTCTCTTTCCCCGCCTGCGGTTACCTGGGCAGGGCTCTGTGCCACAGTCCATCTCCCCATCCATGCAGGTGCTAGAAAGGAGAAGAAGCACGCTCAGGGCGGGAGGCGGGGGGGTAAGTCCGAAGCCATCGGCCTCACGTTTCTCTGGGGATCCACCCCCGGTTCCAACCAGGCAGGGTAGCCAGATGCCTGGAGCACCCAGGGCACCTGTGGGTGGTGGCTGGCCCCAAAGAGAGCTGCTGCCACCCCTGGGTCAGGGCCCCAAAAGCAGGCCTCTTGCAAGGCCAGAGAGGGAGGGTGCCAGTCTCCTACCAGTTGTTGCAGGCGTCCCGGGGGATGGAGCTGCCCTGCTGGTAAAGCTCCCCCTCATAGTAGCAAGGGCACTGGCTGAGCTGCACGCAGGAGCCATTCTGGAGGAAGAGCCCCTCGGGGCAGTGACAGCCCGCCTGGCAGTGGGAGGCACACTCCACCTGCGTGCCCTGGTCCAGGCAGAGCCGGGGGCAGGCACCCCCCTTCCGCTGGCACTCCTCGGCCGTCAGGTACACCATGTTTCCCGGGCACTGCGCTAAGAGCAGAGGAGCAACTGGGGCTTCAGCCAGGCTGCCGCAGGCAACGGTGCCCTCAAGGGAGAAGGGTGGGCGAGAGGGCGAGGGACTGAGCAACCAGTTCTTCCATCTGGATGACCTCTGTCTCCTCAGCCAGCACGGCTAGTGTTGGCTGGAGTGTAAGTGCATAATGGTGAAAACAGCTACCCCGAATTCTTGGCACACAAGACCAGAGGGTGCCTCGGGGTGTGTGTGTGGGGGGGGGAGGGGCAGACTTGCAAGCAGCTCCTGAAATGTATTAAGAAAATACAATATTGTTCCTCCGGCTGATACAGGTTCAGTGTGTCGGAGTGAACAGAGTGGGGAGAAGGGGTTAAATTCTCCTCCTGCTGATCAGACTATAGACCCCCTCCTTTAAAATGAAAAATAAGCAGCTGAAAGGGTATTGGTTGAGCTGCCCCCCCAGTTTTGTCCCCCGTCTCAGCACACCACATCCACACTGCCCACTCCCCAACCCATACCTCTGCAGGGCTGCGTGTTGCAATCTCGGGTCTGGATCAGGGGGCCGGAGCATCCTGGCCCCCCATAGGCAGGCTTGGAGCAGGTCCGGTTGCGGGTCTGCACCCCAGAGTCGCAGGGAACAGAGCACCTGGACCAGGGGGCCCAGGGGGTCCAGATGCCTTCCACTGCGGAGAGAAGTTGGGGGGCTGGTGAATCACGACCAGCCCGGGGGTTCAGGCTGGGCTCTCGAGACCCAGTCAGAGGCAATCTCCCTTGGGCAGGGCTGAGAATTCGGGTCGGTTCCCTTTGGCTTTGGAAGTGGGACACAGTGCCCCACATCACCAACCCCTATTGTGGGAAACAGGCGTGAAAGCTTCAGTCAAAGCTGAGCTTAACCTTAAACGAAGACTCAGAGTGCCCACGGGGGATGCTCCTGTTCCAGCCAGTCACGTCCTCTCACAGCAGCCCAGTCCAATTTCCCCTCCCAGCTTTGCAACAGACGTTTCATGGCCTCCAGCCCGAGGTCCTCCCTGGACCATTGCTGTGGTCCCCTAAGTTCTCTTCCCCCTCCCCTGAAAAAACTGCAGGAGTTCGCCTGAGGCTCTTATACTCCTTCTCGTGAGTGGGCAGCCCCAGCTAAGTGGCATAAAGGTTGGTCCTCCGGCCAGGCGTCTTCCTGACAAGGCTGGGCTGAAACCAGTTAAGGAGGCACAGAAGATTTAGGATCTTCCAATAAGCGATTTATTGTAGAAAAGCATCATGAAAAGATTCCAATGACTTGGCAGAGTTCAAGTTCAAACCTTTTGTGCCTCCTCCTCCACAGCTGGGGAGGCCCCCTCTGTGGGTGGGAAAGCTGGCTTCCATCTGCCTCTTGGGGTGGTCACTGGCAGGCTTCAAACCAGGTTGGTCTCCTCTTACTGGGTGGGAACTAACTCCCACGGCTCCCTCCCCGACTGGGGTAAGAGAGGGGAAGCCGTACACCTTTCTGCGCACCCTGAAAGGAGCTTGCCAAATTAAAACTTCCCAACTGCCACGCGGGGGGGGGGGGGGGGAATAATGGAAGCAATAGTCTCACAACTGGGGGACAACGGTTTGGAGGAGGCCGAGCTAAATCTTGAGTGTTAGGCTGAGCGAATCTGGCCTCAGCGGGGGCAGACTCCAGCCACATTCACCCCCGTGTCCAGGGGTGCCTCTGAGGCTGCTCACCTGGGCAGAGAGGCGTATCGCAGGCCTCCTCCTGCGTGGTCTCCCCATCACACCCCACAGCCTGCGCGGTGCCGTTGCAGTGCCGGAATCGCTTCCGCGTGCCAACCACGTCCGGGGCATAGAAGCAAGTCTTTGAGCAGGGGGACCAGGGAGTCCATTCGCTCCAGGGGAAGGTCATTTCTGTAGGCGCCAGGAGAGAGAGGGGTTCAGAAACTCTGGACTCTTGGGGTGGGTATCCAACTGGTGCAGAGGAGCCTGCCATGCCGAAAGTGATGACAGGCGTTCCTGTTCCTCTTACCTGTGGTGCAGGCTGTATGGCACTCACGCACCTCCTGGGCATCTCCTTGGCATGGGGCACCGCCATTGGCTGCCGCTGGGTTGGAGGGGGATCTGCAGAGGGAGGACAGCTTTGAGGGTCGAAACATCAAGGGAGACCTGAAAGGCAGCTTTTCGTTTTCAATACATGGGCATCTTTGGGGGCGGCGGTGGGTGGTGGTGTCCTGCTACATGTCAGGATGTGGTTTGCACAGTGATGTCGTGCCGCATGTGATGTCATGAGGGCTTCTACGGAGGGCTGTGCTTGCGCAGTGCTGCCCAGTGGGAGTGAGGAAGGGACAACGCCCCTCCTGCTGTGCAGGAAAACCCACAGCCGTTCCTCAGCCTGACTTCCCCTGGATCTCGAGGGGTCACGTAAACCATCTTTTATGGCCCCTGGAGCCCCGGGTGAACGGATGCTGAGTAGGACACCCACGCCCTTACCTGAATCTTTGCTGCATCCCAACTCCACAACTCCGGCTGCAGTGTGTCCACGGAGACCAGGCTGACCAGCCACACTTCACAGGGCAAGCCACCGAATCACAGGTCACGGCGCCATCCAGACAAACGCTGTGCGAGGACGAGATGGAGCTTCAGCGGCCCCGTGGCTAGCTCTGGGCTGACCCTTAGGTCGGCTTGCCTCTGCCTTGAGGCCCAAGAGGAAGGGCTTGGGGGCCACAGAACGTGGCCAATATTGGGTACAACATTTGGTGCCACCCATTGACCCAGGGATAGTGTGCAAAAGGTTGCCTTTGCTCAGAAGCCAGGAAGAGATCTGGTCAGTCTTTGGAGGGGAGATCACGAAAAGCTCAGGGCAGCTGGCTTGATGCAAAACGAACAGATAATCTCAGAACCAGGTGGTGCCGAGCCCCTTCGGGATCCTTGCCAGGAAAACCACACCCACAGTTGATGGGGAAGGCACTCATTTTGCCCCATGGACTGGGAACAGAGGGACTTCCCTGCAAAGGTGAACCGTGGCGCTGGGTGTCAAGGGCCAGGTTCAAGCGAGATGAGTTCCTGTGGTCGCACGCTCGCTGCCTTAGGCCCAGCGGTGAACAATGGGGGAAAGCGGGGGCTTTCTGCTCCCATAATTCAGGCACCATTCCCAGTTAACCACGGTGGCTAGGGATTCTGGGAGATGTGGTCCCAACACATCTGGAGGACACCAAGTTGGGGAAAGCTGGCCATGAACTGAAGAAGGGTTTTCAAACCCGGCGGCTTTAAGGTGTGTGGACTTCAGCTCCCACAACTCTGAAGTCCACACATCTTAACGCTGCCAAGTTTGGAAAACACTGAACTGGAGCTTGCTTTTCCAGCCCTCTGAGCACGTTCGATCTGCTGGGTCCCCAAGAAGCATTAGCATGACATGTACCCCTAGCAGGCTGCTCCTTGGCAGAAGAACATCCCACATCGAAGGCGCCGACTGCTTGACAGCTAAAGCAGGGCTAACCCGAGGTCTCCCCAGCTGCTGAGCAAGATGTTCCTCTGCTTTCTAGCAGACTCGGAGAATCCCAGCATTTAGGCGTTTGAAGGGGCCCTCAGGGCCCTCTGTCCAAACCGCGCAAGAACCCACCCAACCGTGCCCACCAGGGAACCCTCCAGCAGCCCCCTGACAATCCCCAGCAAGGGCACCCCCCAGGCACGCCGGCCCACGCTTCCCAACCCCAGCAGCTTCCCGAAAGGAAGGGCGCCCATGCGGCGGGGTCCGTCCCAGCTCACCACTGGCTGCAGTTGTCTCGCAGGAAGATCTCCCCCGGCCGGCGCTGCTCCTGGTCGAAGAAGCAGTGGCACTGGCTGACGTTCACGCAGCCGCCCTCCTGCAGGAAGAGGCCTGGCGGGCAGCGGCAGCCTGCGGGAGCCCAAGCGGGGAGAGAATCGCACCTGGGAACAAGGGCTGCGAAGGTGGGGGGGCAGTGGGGCGAGCTTCACTGGGGCCGGGGCTCACCCTCCACGCAGCTGCTCTGGCAGCTCCTCTTGACGCTCAGCTGTCGGCAGGTCTGCGGACAGGGATCCACCAGGCCGCGCTCGCAGTGTCCAGCTTGCACGAAGACCATGTCTGGGCCGCAGTCTGCGGAGAAATGCGGCAGGGCAGGGGAGGAGAAAGCGCAGAGCTAGCTCCACTGCCACGGAATGGGGGGGCCCTGAGCCCGGCAGCCCCCCACCTGCTCCCTCTGGGTTTGCAGGATTACATCTCCCATCCTTCCCAGCCAAGACAGCGAACGGTCTGGTGCACATCCCACGGGGTAGAGCGGGGTGGCGCCAAGGGTGGCTCCTGGTGGACTGGGCCTGAGAACCAATAGGGCAGAACACGAGGAAGACGCTCTGCTGGCTCTTTAATTCAACCCCCATAACTGCTCCCCCCTTCAGGAAAGCCAGAATGCAGGCGTGTCAGCAGCATAGGGTCAAAAAAGTCAAGATGGTGGCTGTGACAATGCAGTTGAAGCTCGCCCATTTTGCACATGATGATGCACATAAAAAACAGGCCAAGCTTGATTGCACCACCACAGCCTCCATCTTGACTTTTTTGACTGTACCCTGTGGACACCCCTGAGTGTGCTCTGGTTCTCCTCGCCTAGCGATCAGGATGCCCTCAGCGTGGGGAGAGTTCAGAGCCCCCAAAAGGCAGTCAGAATAACGAAGAGCCGCCAAGACCTGAGCAGTGACATTTGGGCTCGAAAAGCAACACCAGTGGATTGGCACCCACTGTCCCCTGGGCATGCACAGAGCGCTCTTTCCTCGGAGGGTGCTCCTGAGCCTCTCCCCTCTCTTTCTCCCCTGTCCCCACTGCCCCATCCCTGCCCCTGCATCTCAGCTCCGGCCAGTACCCCTCCTTACCCCGGGCGTCTCCGCAGGGCTGCTGGTTGCACGCCTCCATTTGCACGGCATCTCCGGGGCACATCTGCCCGCCGTTCTTGGGTGGGGGGTCAGCACAGATCCGGGTGCGGCTCCTCACACCCCCCCGGCACTCAGCGTCACAGTCCGACCATTCGCCCCAGGAGGCCCAGGCCCCGTTCACTGGGCAGGGAAGAGCAGGCAGAAGTAGCCCCGGTGAAGACAGAGGAGCTGCTCTTGGGACTCCCAGCCAGCAGATGAATGGAGCTGCAACCAACTTCCTCTTGGGGTTGGTTTCGCTTCCCAACCCACCTGCCCAGAGGAGATCTGCTCCCTTTATCGTAACGCCCCCAAATCTCCCAGTGAATGACACTCTAAGTCAGTGTTTCTCCACCTTGGCCACTTGAAGAGCACGGCTGGCTGGGGAATTCTGGGAGTTGACGTCCACCCCTCTTCAAGCGGCCATGGTGGAGAAACACTGCTCTAAGTGAAAGGAGCACCACGGGGAGGCATTTTGTATCTAAACTGCTCTCCTTAGGAGTATTTCCCTTGCCTGATCTCCCTGCGGGGCATCAAGAGCCAGGCTGGCTCTGCCACGCCCTCTCTGGATCTTGCCCTTCTCATTCCTCCCAAACATTCTGCCGAGACCGTCTGCGTGCAGTGCTGGTGTTCAGCCATAAAGCTCTGAGTTCCCCGGCTGTTTGGCAGGAGCCAATATTCACTTTAAACTCTGCCAAGGTTAGACCTTAAAGAAGATTATGCAATCAGGTTGCAACGTTCAGCATCTGACCGGGTTCCACCACCTGGTGCAAAATATTAGGGCCAACTTTTCTAATGGTTCACATAGAAGAACCCAGGCGTTGGGAAAACCCACGAATAGGTTGGGGGGGCCTTTTTGGGCAAACCCACCCTTGGTGCCAGGGCAGGGAAGGAAACGCAGGGCAGCTACCTGGACAGGCCCGGAGGAAGCAAGAGCGGCTGTCAAACTCATCACGGTCACACCGTCCTCCTGGGAGAGCGTTGCGCAGCAGGCTGCGGCGCCGGAAGGTCACACCCAGCCCACACGATCGGCTGCACTCACTCCAGGTGCTCCACGGAGACAAGATGCAGTCCACTGGAGGAGGAGGAGGAGGAGGAGGAGGAGGCAGCTGAGATCAGGGTATCACGCAGCCATGGTCCCAAGACCAGGGGAAACACCTCCCCCCCGGAAATGCCATCCGTGGCCTGAAGTGGTGCCAAGCTAAATCTCAGGCCTGCTGCTCTGGCAGAGCACAGACACAAAGCAGCCGCCTTGGGTGTTGGGGGGGGGGCGGCGGGCAGGGGGAGGGAGGGAGGGAGGGGGAAACAACCACTCTTTCTATCCCTCCCCTCCTAAACGACCTACCGCAGTTGGCTTCATCAGACCCGTCCTGGCAATCATGGCGAAGGTCACAGCGACGCTCAAGGGTCAGGCATTCCCCGCTGTTGCAGGAGAACTGCTTGGAGGAACAGGCACTGGGGGGACCCACTGGAATCAGGGGGGCCATGGTGGGGACAGTGGGAGCTGTGGGGCCCCCTGCAAACAACAACATGGAAGAGACAGGTCAGACTCATGGAGAAACTGGCTGGTTTGATCAGTGGACTAAGCCTTGGACTGCTCAACCATAGTTTAACAATGGTTTATTAATCAAACCCCGTTTTAGGCTTAGCACAATGGGTGTTTCCAGCCATTCGCCGGATGCTTTTAGTGCACCGGGAAACCACCCCCTCCGGTTCAGATCTGGGCAGTCCAGGTCCTTCTCCTCCCAGGTGGACTCTGCGTGAAGTCCCCCAACCCCTTGCAGGCAGACCCTGAAGCCATCAACCAAAAGATGTTGTGGACCTCAGCTGCAGGATGAAGGGCAACAACCCTGCTGCCGGGGAGTCCTGCAGCTAAGTCAACATAGTGGTAGGACACCAGGGTTGAGAAGCTGGGGGTAACCTGAAGGTTTTCCCCAAGTTCCTGAGAACATCTCGCTGTCCCTGGATCGGGCAGGAGCAGGAGCAGGAGCGGCAGCGGGACTAAGGGGGGAGCTCAGCGCACGCTCACCACAGTGCACCTCGTCAGAGCCGTCCGAGCAGTCCTGCTGCCCGTCGCAGACAAAGGCGGCCTCCACGCAGCCGAACGCCTCGCAGGCAAATTGCCCCTGTGTGCAGAGGATCCGGGGCATCCCAGGGCTGGGGATGAGAGTTGGCCCTGCCAGAGAGAGGGACGTGTGGGTCAGGGGCTGCGTGGGGGCAGGGTCCCTTGAGTGGCAGACCAGAAGGTCCATGCAAGGAAGCTGAAATGGGGGGGCTCGTGCCTGTCCCTTCCACGGATATCTGGGGGCAAGAGACCTCATGCAGTTCATGACATCACTTCCCAAATGATATCATGGTGCGTGTGACATCATCGTGTCTTGTACTGAGCCCCTATGTTCCCTCCCCTTTGGACCGGAGACATCTCTGCTCAGAACTCGGCCATGAGCCTGGACAGGGCACGATCCAAAGAAGCAGCTGGCAGCCCAACTTTCTTCTGTGTCTGCCCAGTGTCCAGCTGCCAGGAAGGGCCTTGGAAGATGCCCTGAGGGACCTCTCCCCGCCCAGGCCACGCACCTTTCTTTTGGCATCCTCCCTCCATGGGACGGGATTGCAAATCCCAGAACCCCCCTGCAAAGGGTACCAAACCCACACACCTAGAAGGGCCCACTGAGGAGGGCCGAGACCACCCCTCTGAGTCACGCCAGCCCACCCCAGCAAGCCCGGAATGGATTTCTCCCCTGCCGGTGGGCGGCCACACTCTGGGTTCCCCAGGCTGGACCTCCCACCCGCAGGCCTGTATTAGAGGCACACCGCCCCACCTGGCGAGGTGGACCTCAAGCTGGGGGTGCCAGGTCGGTGTGGAAGAACGCGGAAGGTGGGCAGTCCTGAAGCCCCACTTGGTCCAGGAGTCGCCACCGGCCGAGAGGTGGGCCAGGCGATGCCGGGGGTCGCTGGGGACAAGGCAGCAGGCAGGGCTGTCTTCTGGACCTGCTGAGAAGGTGTGACCACTGCTGCAGCCTCCGGCTTGGTGAAGGGTGGCAACCAGCCCGGTGTGCCAGTGGGCTTCTCTGGAGGAGATGGGGCTGCTGTGGGTTTAGTGCGGACTATTCCTGGGGCTCGGCTGCCGCTGGCAGAGGTCAACAGGCCCACGGCCCGCTCTGTCTCTGTGTTGTGTGAGAAAGAACCAAGCGGTCAGGGGAAAGAAGAGGAAGATGCCCCCCCCCCCAGAAAGTGAGCCTGTTCCAGCCTCAGCCCCATGCCCTGTCTGCATGCCCCAGGACAGGCGGGGGGGACCTGGCCCTTGGGATGGCGCCCCCCGTTGGCGAGAGTGGCTGGGCCTGTTCAGCAGCACTGGAGGCTCCTCTGCCTGTGCTCGGAGATGCTCTGTCTCCCAGTGCAGCCATGCGTTGCAGCATCTCTCCAGCCTCCAGACCCCCAACATCCCCACCCCGCCCTCCACTCACCCCAGGGACAGCCGAACATCTCCAGGCGCAAGGAAATGCTCTGGTGATACTCCACTGGCACGAAGCGCAGGAAACGGGCCAGGATGGCCGGGCTGAGCTCCTGCCGTGCCGGAAAGCTGCTGTCCGAGTTTCCCTCCAGAATCTGCAGGATGGAGGGATTTTAAGAGGTTGGAGGCAGGAGAGGACAAAATGGCGGTTCAGCAATATGGAGTCACCTCGTCTTCTTGGCAAAGCAGAAAAGAGCATAGAAGGGAGGTTTTTAAAGATGGAGAGAAGGAGTGCGGAGAGGAGGAACAAAGTAATCCATGGAGAGAAGACATCATTAAAAGCCACCTCCATCTTTTGTGACACTCACAATCATCCCTTGGATTTGGCAACACCCACAAAGTGAATATAGTGGGGGAAGAAAAGGAGCCCTGCTCTTTCTTTGGATCAGAGACACTGGGATAGGGAAACAGGGAGACCAGGCTGATTGGAAATGGGTCGCGGCCATACCTGAGCCTGTAGGGATGGAGCATATCCAGGTCTGGTGTAGTTCCAGAAATGGACCCCATCATTGCTGTAGACTAGGCGATAACGTAACACGTATCCCTGAGACCTGCCTCCACCTTGGGTGGCTACTGCAGTGATGAAGAAGGGCTGGAGGAGGTCCACCTGGAAGTATGGGTTGGGGTCAGACAGGCGGGGGCTCCATCCTGGCTTCATGTTCTGACTGGAAAAAGAAGAGGAGGACCAAAGTTTGCTATGGTCAACACCACTGGCAGAATAGATGTAACCTCTGAACATCAGCTTGGACCAAGTCTTGTTCTGGAGGCCTTCCCTGGGTAGTACAAGCTCCCATAATACTTTTGTTTTCTCTCCTGAAAAGCCAGGTTAGAAGACCCAAATAATTGGTAAGGGATGATGTTCAATTCATGCTCCCACCGAGTCATTCTCTCTTTGGAATCCCCCCATCACATTGGCTGTGCAGGAACCCATGTTTCTTTAATGTGATTCAGAAAGCTAATGAGAAACAGACCTTAGGAAGCCATCGCTGGTTAGAGAAGACTTGCCTACCCCAACCTATCCTCTCCAGATGTATTGGACCTAAACTGGGAATGTGGGAGTTTTCACCCAACTGTTTAGAAGGTACCAGCTTGAGGAAGGTTAGAGAGCACAATGGCCAGGGAATAGTCTGCCTACACCAATAATAACTCAATCATCCCTGGTGGTTCCTTGCTCTCTTCAACCAACTTCTCTGCTAGTCCACACTCAAAGGAGGAAAGATACTGAAACGACATGGAAGAGATCAGGAGTTGGGCCAACAAATTTTTACTTGCCCTGGGGACTCCTCCTTTTCCCTTTTAGTTTACACTCAACCTCTTCCCTGCCATTCAGACACACACACTTCCTCAAGACCCCTAGCTACATCTCAAGAGCTTTGGGACAATGCACTTCCATAACCTGTGGATAGAAATTGGGTGGGGGATGCCAATGTATTCAATCAAGTCAACATCCTGAACAAGTTGAAGACCAAGAGATGACATTCCCATGATGTGCTAAGCTTGTTAGTGTAAGCCTCAGTAGTTTGGTGGAATGTGTGCAAACCCAGCCCATTTGACTAGATGGGTTCAGTGTATTGCGCAAACCAAGATAATGGCTTAAGAGCCTCTAGTTGCAGGTGGTGTTCCACCAGAATTCTTGTGTTTGGCTTCTCCCTCAAGGCAGCTCCAATCCTGCACCACTCACATGTTGGGCACAATGTTCAGCCGTCCAGCATCCGGGGGATTTCCCTCTTGGTGGGAGGAGGCCATCAACTGCTGATAGTGAATGCGCCCATCCTCCAGGCCGAGGGGCTCATTGCAGGAAGCTGGGCAAGGGGGTGCAAAATTGCAAAGTATTAGGGCAGTATGATGCGCCATTCTGTAACCCCCCAGGCAGAAGAGTGCTTCCTTGACACAAACACTTCTGTGAGGTTGCGAAGGTCCTTAGCATTCTCAGAGGAGCAAAGCCCTGCAGAGATCTGGCCTCAGTTATGGTTACACCAGTACATGAGGTCAGCAAGGGTGAAGTTGAGGAGAAGACCAGATATGTTTTGGACTTCTAAGAAACTAGCTACATCTGCTAATTAAGTAGAGATATTACCAAAAACTTTCTCAGATCATAACCCAGTGATTTTGACATATAAGGGGAAAGGCAGAACTTACAGATGGAGGCTAAATAAGACTTTGTTACGAAGAGAATCAATGAGAGAGGACTATAAAGAGGAGTTGAAAGGATTTTTAAGATATCTAATCAAAATAAAGGTACAGACACAGGGACAGTATGGATGCAAGCAAAGCCTTTATTAGAGGACAATTTATACAGCAGAATGGAAAATTGAAAAGACAGAGAGAGGAAAAGATGCAAAAGATTCTGAGATAAAAGTGAAAGAGGATGAATTAAAAAGATCAGCAAGAAGGAAAAATATCTCACAGCAAATTAAACTTTTACAATGCCAGCTTTCAATGCTAGTAATTAAAGAAATGGAAACAAAAATTAATTTTGCTAAACAGAAGAATTTTGACTTAGCAAATAAGTCAGGGAAAGGGCTAGCACATAAACTGAGAAAAGAAAGTGAGAAGAAAATGATACTATAATTACAAAATGGAAATTTTATGACAACAGATAATGCAAATATGCAAAGAATATTTCGTCAGTATTACGGGTACCCCTTGGGTTATGGCGGCAATTGGAACTAGGATTGGTGTCACTAAGTGATGTGATTGCAAAACATGATGTCACATGACCGTATTGCTTAGTGACAACAATTCTGGCAGCCCTGGTTGCCGTTGTAATCCCAAGATGGGTTGTTAAGCAGGAAGCGGCAGGAGCCCCAGGTAAGAAGCACCAGAGTGACAGGGCCTTACCTGAGCAATTTGCGACTTTCCCTGCCAGCTTCCTCATTGACTTTGCTTGTGGGAAGCTGGTAGGGAAAGGTGCAAATGACAATCATGAGACCACGGGATGTTGCAACCATCATAAATGCGAGCCAGACACCAAGCACCCAGATTGCGATCACATGACTGTGGGGGCGCTGCGACAGCCAGAACTTCGAGGATCAGTCATAAGTACCACTCATTCTCAAGTCAAAGACTGCATGAGAAAATGGGCTATGAATTTTGGTTATAATATACAGGTGGATAAATAGGAGAGAATGTAGGTAAATGGGATGAAATTCACATTGTGTTATAATTTAAGAGAGAATTTTTATAAAATGATGTACCATTGGTATATGACAGCAGAGAAATTATCATAGATGTATAAAGATACTTCAAGCCAATGTTGGGAATGTGAAAAATATGAAGGGACATTTTATCATGCATAGTGGACTTGTGAAAAAGCCAGATTTTGGATAAAAATACAATGATCCAAAGGATTTTATAGATCAATATCAAGAAAAATTGAGAACTCTTTCTACAGGGACTTATGGATAGCCAATTAGAAAAGACTCATGGAAGACTGATTTTATATATGGTAACTGCAACAAGATTATTATATGCACAGTGATGGAGGAATACTGAAACTCCCGCAATGGAGGAATGGATTGGGAAGATGTCAGAATTGGCAGAGATGGCAAAACTGACCTGTTTGGTCAGGGGTAAAACAATAAGTATTTTTATAAAAGACTGAAAACCTTTTATGGACTTTTTGCTGAAAATGGAAAAAAGCGGACTGATGATTTATGGATTTTATGATTGAAAAAGGATTAAATAAGGGGCTGAAGGGATTTTTGTAACACCAAGAGAGAGGAGGGATAACGAGTTTGTTATAACTGTTGAAAAGAAGGTTGGAAGTCACTTGCTTTTTCTGATTATTTTTTCTCTCTTTTTCTGTTTTGCTTTTCTTTCTTTCTTTCTTTCTTTCTTTCTTTCTTTCTTTCTTTCTTTCTTTCTTTCTT